TTATTTAGATTGGCCTCCTTTCTCGCTTGAAAAAATGCTGCTTCTAGTGAACAATATTTGAAGTGGCCTCTCAGGTTAGATATATCGGCATTATTCCCGGTCTCCATGCTATTACAGAGTCAACCCTGCGTTGCGCAGTTCTCAACGGCCACGTTGCGCAGTTTCGCCCGATTAGACACGTTCTCTCGCGCGAACATTCACACTCGCATGCTCGAGCCGTCTGTGTCTCCGCCCATACAGCGTGCGTTGAGGATCTCTCAACGTGCCGTTGCGAACTGCGCAACGCAGGGTTGACTCTGGTGCAACTCCGCCTAGCTCAAGGTGCACGTCCATGACCGATGGCTCTAAACCTTTCCTCCTCCGCCATCCATCCATTCCATTGCTGGGATGGCTCTGAAACGAATTTTGAGATGATAGTAAATTACGCTCCTTTCAGAGCACGTTCAGCTTTCCTACCAACAGCATTTGTTCTTCGCTCCTTCATCACCCTCTGTCCACTTCTTTCCCGTTGTCTGAGACTTGGAACCGGGTTAGGCCGATGTCGGGCTTCGCGAATCCAGTGACTCGCTAGCGAATCGCGAGATACGAACTTTGCACCGGGCAAATCGAGCTGTGTACCAGCGAATCGAATCGTGTGCCAGCGGCACTGTTTGAAAGTGGTGGGACTTCCTTTGAACGTTGGCTCTCGCCACTTTCCCGGGCTCACGAGGGCATGAGAGAGTGAGAGGGTATGAGAGCTCGGGAAAGTGGCGAGAGTCAACATGCAAACGAGAGGGAGTCCCGCCACTTTCAAACAGTGTTGAGTCGCTGGTACATCGTTCGATCCGCTGGTACACAGCTCGGTCCACTGGTGCAACGCTCGTATCCCGCAATTCATTAGCGAATCCCTTGATTCGCAAAGTCTGACATCGGTCTTATGAGGAGTTGTACACACGCCTAATAAAGGACACGCTCCGGCTAGTGAGGGTTCACGACGTACATTTTGAGATCACCTTGGACATTGCTTTCCTCCACCTTTTTTTCTGCTCTTGAAACTCCCGGTTTCTATTGATTGGAATCTTAGAGTTTTTGTCGTCATTGTCACTTATTACTATGAAGGTCACGCCCTCTGTGGGGATTCCCACGTTGATGTGTGCTTTATCTTAGGAAATGACCCACCCATCCCACACTTGACCCTTTCTCTCTGGATAGATCTCCTTCGGTAGTCATGAATTTCGTGACAGCGCATAGACCGACAAACCGACAGATCGACAGGTCGATTGAAGAAGCGCTCTACAGAAAATAGGATCAGTTACACATGCACTGAACAAATTTATAAGCGTAGGTGATCTCAACTAGTCCAGAGGCAACGCAGCACCTACAGTGCGTTTCATAATTATACGGTCACCCTAAAATTTTGCATTTTTGGAACAAGCAACCAACTGGGGATTTTTAGTATCACCAGTCAATTCCTCACCATTAATAACCCCACTATGTATAGCAATTTTGTCAAGAGAAGCGTTTCTTCTAGGTTTTTATGGTGATTTTTCGGTTCCGCATCGTTCCATAATCAAATACAATCAATATAGTATTTCTATTTGAATATACTCCGTATACCTTATGAGCGCGTCCACTGGACGTATGAAAATAAATAAATAAATAAATACAAGGTCATCTGAAGAAAGAAACCATTAGCTAAGGTTAATGACAGAGGTATGATGGTTTGTGATCTATGGTTCCTTCTTTATCTGTACCACAACAAATAGCTGTGGTCTACTGGAATTGAGACTCCAGGACAACTGATCACCGGTTATACCGGACTGCACAAAGTTTGTTTGTTTTCAGCTCTGTTGTAATTATAATGGTTCTGTCCGCGATGATATATCAGCGAAAAACTACTGAGTGCTCTTATCGAATGACAGATTTCCGACAACTGTTTCAGATTCCGGTGGGTCGGGTATGGTGCCGGTTCATGGAGGTGAATAACAGAGTACTGTAGTTGTTCTGTAAGGAACTAGGTTAAGTGTTGACTGAATGAGTCGTCGGTCCAAAAAGAGATAGATTCTGACCGCTATATGGTAATCCTTGGAGTCCATCATGCAGGTTGTGGGAAAAAAATTCCGGCACAACATTACCACATAAAGCCCCACACCTTTCACATTTCCTCCACTAAAATTGCGAGCACTAAAGTGGATCGACCACCTTCGCTTGCACGGCAAGAAAGATTGAACGGTTTATGCAGATTGACTGTGTAAAAGGCACTATTTATCCGCAAATTTCAACTTTACTGAAATTATGTTAAGCATTAGCTGTGCAGACTCAATTTTCCTCTACTCGTTCTAACAAAGTGTACTTCGCGGTTTGGACTTGTTCCTCTTTACAATGAGCAGTGAGCCTTCAAATCATCTTCGTCCCCTTCCTGACAATGTGGCTGCTTCTTTTCTTTTTCTTCTTCCCGCTCTCCAGTTCATGTTTGAACAGAAACATTAAATTACGAGGGACTTTAATTTCAAGGGGAAGAACTGTTTGGGACAGCTCCAGTACTTTGCTCTCTAGTCACTTCTATATGCCCTTTCGCGGGAGCTTGTAATATCTGCAGGCTAAGGAAGCATAGTGAGGTTTTGACTACCCATGGAGGTGAAGCGAGGAGCAATTCGCAGCTGCTTAATGGCTTACGAACCGACCTGAGCACACGAAATGCATAAATCTGGTTTTTTCTTCAGAAGACGAATACGAAACATTCCATAAATTTAGCTAATGGATGTGTTTGTAACAAATATTCAGTTTCACAGTCAGGTTTGTTGTTTCTGATAATGTAGTATTCATTTTCACAGGGTGACCTTATAATTATGAAACGGTGAAACCTAAAAATAATTATAAAAAAGTTGAAAGAAAAGCTGTTCTCGCCAAAAATGCAGTACAGTGGTTATACATGGAGATTAGTCAGCTCTTTCTAGGAAAATCGCATCTGGCTGCTCTTCCGGAAGTGCGTACCCTTATAATTAGGAAACACACTGTATTTTATCTTGGAGCTGCTTCACTGCTCAAAACGAGCCGCGCACGCTTGGGCTACTTACGCGAGCTCTAAGCCGCTCATTCTCACTTGAGCAGACAGATGTGCAGGTGTTTGTCGTGAATTCCTTAGACACTTCAGTTATGCGGAGATTTTCTTGCACTCATAAATGTTTTTCAGATGGCATGCTCTCCACCCTCCACAAATAGCGAGGAAAATATAAATTTGTCTCATCGGGCGCTTGATGGGAAATGGCGGTCTCTTCATACGCAACATGTTGTCGACGTTGAAGAAGATATTCCAGAGGACTGGACGAAAGTAGAGGATGATTTTGTTGGAGTATACGCGGTTAGTGGCAACTTACACGTTTATAATTCCAAAAAAAAACGGAATAGATGGGGGTGGTGTGTGCTCTTAACATTCACGACGGCGCCCCTTTTCCACTTTTCGGTCGCGTGGGACGGACGCGATTTTGTGGGCGCCGCCTAACCTCACACCGCAGATTTTGTTTTGTAAATGAACAAAAACATGAATGTCACAAAATAATTTCTGCAATGTCCAATGCGTAAAGATTATCTAAACATATAACAGTAGGATTTCGATCAGAACGACAAATAGTGGTTACGAAAAGAGAGCATTTATTCACTTTCCCCGTGAAGGAATTTAAAAGCATTTTACACTCGATTACGAGGTTTGCCCACCTATCTGTCCATTCCTAGCGCCTGGCAAGCGATTATCAGTTGGCAGCCCATATGGGCTGCCATCGTCCCAGGAGCACATGTTGTTGGCAGCCCATATGGGCGGCCATCGGCGTGAATGTGTTAAATAACAGTGACCGGTTGATTGGAAATTTAATGGGACCAGATTCAGTATCAAAGGATGGATGTGATGAAAGCAACGATTGTCGAACTAGAAAGCCGCCACAAGAAATTCCAGAAATCTCTTCCAAGCAAAATTATCACCTTTACTTTATTTCATAACCAGATTGGCTCCAGCAATCAGCGGAATCTCGGTAGGTGGGTAGAAACTGCAGAAAAAGAAGAATCGAAGGGTTGTGGGGCGTGAAACTTCTGAAGAGAAATGTTATAATTCTAGCTCTAAAGTTCATGCGAAACCTGTCTCCGAAGCAGAAATTCGTTGAAAGGCGCTCTAGGAAGAATTGCTAACGTGCGAAATTGCTTTCATGAAAATGTCGCTAATATACCTGACAACTGAGAGTTTCCAGGTCACCTTGTCACACATCTCTAATGATGGGCCATTCGCACCACAAGCTCGAATGGACGACGACCGCATCTACTTAACTTACATACTACGGAATGATGTGTCGAATAGGCTGGATCTGCTCAAATTTCTGACCTCAATCGAAAGTCAGAAACATCTCGATCTGCCCTTTGTAAAGGTGGGAACTGACGATTGCTACACGTTTCTAATTCATAAGATAGTCTCCTTTGATAGTTTGTCAATTCAATTCTTCCGCTATTTCAAAGGCACTGGTAGCGCTTTGATCCTTACAGCAACTCCCTCTCTGGGTAAGATAGCAGTGCTCTTAGGCAAAATATACATGTATTGTCGCGAAACGAAATGGTGCAGCAACATCGCTAAGGTAAGGCGATTCCTTGACCCGCTGAAACAGTTGCCGTTTTACTCACGCTTGTCTACTTCCTCTCATACGAAATGTTTGCGCTTCCCCCCTTTTCGCCGCTCTCTCCGACCTCACGAAAATATGTGACCTTCGGTTTCTGTGTTTCCTGTGGTCTCTTTTACTTTTTTTTCTT